CCTAGCATGTGCTAGGTAGCTATTCCGATAGCCGTTTTTTGAACATTTCAAAATTTCATCAAATGTCGACGTTTTAGACCATTTTAAGCAACTTTTAAAGAATAAAATTTTTTTCCGTCTGTATGTACGTACGTACACGTACACGTACGTTTGTTGGCAATTTTCTGAGAAAACGGCTCGACGGATTTTGTTGAAATTTTGTATATATGTTTTAGGCATACCGAACAGAAAAATAACGGGCCGGATTTTTGAAAAAAAAATTTTGGAGCGCCGTAACGGCATCGAACTTTTTTTTTCAAATAGCAACCTAAAATTTTTATTCTATTATTTGGAAGACCTTATTTTCCTGTGTACAACCTACAAAAAATTGGGCCGGGTTATATTATCAAAAAACGGAGAAAAAATTGTCAAAGTCAAAAAATTGTGTTGCATATGTGCAAAACGCAACGATCTTGTTTCTGAAGCAATTTAAACGAAATTTCTATGGTAAGTCCCTTTAATGAAAGCAAACAAAATTCATGCGCAAAAATCGTGTTGCGCATGCGCAGAAATGCAATTTTCTTATTTATGGAACAATTAAAACGAAATTTGGATGGTAGGTCCTCCTAATAAAAGAAAACAAAATGCATGCGCAAAAAATCGAGTTGCACATGTGCAACATCCAACTTTCTTATTTATGGAGAAATTTTAACGAAAATTGGATGGTAGGTCCCTCTAATAAAAGCAAACAAAATGCATGCGCAAAAATCGTGTTGCACATGCGCAGAAATGCAACTTTCTTATTTATGGAACAATTTTAACGAAATTTAGATGGTAGGTCCTTTTAATAAAAGCAAACAAAATGCATGCGTAAAAATTGACGTTTTAGATCATTTTAAGCAACTTTTAAAGAATAAATTTTTCCCGTCTGTAAGTGCGTACATATGTTGGCAATTTTTGGTTTCAGCTAGGAAGCTATTCTGTCAAGAATTTGACACCTGGTTTTTTTAAATGATGTTAATTTAATATATTTACGTCATTGATTTGACCTGAAAAGTATTGCTTTCATTTTAGAAAAGAAGGGGAATCAGAAGTAGACTGGTACCTACGAAATTTATCCTGTATGTACATGTTATCTGATGCAGTAAATTCAATTATCAATAGAAATATCAAAATTATAGCAGCTTTGCATGGACCTGTTTGCTTTGATGTTAATGTGCTAGTTGAATGCTGCACAACAGTACGTATCGGTAATATTGTCGGTATTACCAGCGATGTTGGTTTAGGAGCAATAAAAAAGGCAGCAGATTTTACTGGTTTGAACTTGTCAAATATCGGCGGTCCACCTGTATGGGGTTATGTCGGTGTTAATCAATTTATTGATGTGAAAAGTGCGATTGTCTACAGTGACATGTACCGTCCATATCAGAGAGCTTTGAAAAACAAAGGCGGATCAACACTTCCATTAGGCACCGTTCATCCCGAACTACGATTTTTATCTTATCTGATAGAAGATGCCAACGAAATTAACATTGAGTCAATTGAATCACGAAGAACGGCTCAACAACTTTTAAATCGTCATTTAGTTTACTCAAAAGTGCGCGCTACAATTAGCGTAATTAAGATATGGTATGCGAAAGAGCCAACAGGTGATATCATTTCATTAGGCATTTGTTCTAATGGTATAGATCAATTCATATTTGATTACAATTATTTTTATTGCGGCTTTTTAGGCTCATTTGGAATACCCGCTGGTCTTGTTTTCTCTCAGCCATCAATACTGAAAAACAACGTGTGGGTACCGTACGAAGCATTTCCCACCATGGAAGAAACAAAACGAGAAATTTTAAAACTGATCGATTCATCTGAAGAAATACATCATTTAATGGATTGTGTTGCACCTACGAGTGCCGCTGCTTACTAAATATTTTAAATAAATGGGTTTAGTATTAGAATAACACATACACAAAATATAGAGTACTTGAATATAAAATTCAAAGCCTTATAAACGATATTTTAAAAAGTTACATTTTGCAAAACACGGTTTAAACGAGTGGCTAACGATTATGTGTGCGTTCTTGCCGTATATGCAATGTAAAATGCGCCGAGAAAAATCCTTATATTTTCATTATCATTAGGGCAAACGACAAACAAAACGCACCTTTGTAAAGATAATTAAAAACAGGAACTTTTTCAAAAATTCAATTTTTTCTTTTTTGGGCCATTTGGACATCGGTATCAACAGACGAATTTAGGGGGTTAATTAGTAGTCCAAACTCTACAGAAAAACATAATTAGATGCTTTTTACCTTTAAAAGCTTGACGGGGTGGATCTCTAAATCACTTTTGCGCGCGCAGGAACTCTACTATGGTGGGTGAAGATGGCATAAGTTTGCATATGTTACTCCTGTGTTGTCCTTTTAGTAATACCGTATGTTACTTATGTTATAAATTTTTGTTTGAGGACAAGCACAATTCCAGATATTTGGAAAAGAGCAAGGGTGGTTCCTTTAGTAAAACGCAACCCACCTAAGGATGATAATGATTTGCGACCAATTAGCATCCTTTCAGTGGTATCAAAAGTTTTGGAAAGAGCAGTATCAACACAAATCAATATGATCATCTACGTGATTATGACATTTTGCCTGCATCTCAGTCTGGTTTTAGAAGCGGATACAGTTGTGTGACGGCATTATTGAATATGACTGATAATATATTTGCTGCGAGAGATTCAGCAGGCGGTCGGTCATTGGGCAACTTGATTTTTCCAAGGCCTTTGATACTATCAATCACAGGATACTTGTAGCATTACTACATTATGTTGGTTTTGATTCGGAAGCATTCTTGCTTGCTTATTCGCAATCATTTGGAAAATAGAACGCAATTTGTTATGATTGCTGAGGAAAAATCTTCTTTGGCTCATATAATGGCTGGTGTACCGCAAGGATCTGTCCTTGATCCATTACTTTTTATATTATATACCTTTAATTTCCACAAAAGTTTAACTGAGACTAAAAGTCATCAATATGCGGATGACACACTGCTCCAGTATGAGTGCAGTAGCAATGATGTAATTCGTACAAATGAGATAATACTGACATGCAGTTTAATTACAACAGCTGAAAGCCATGATTTGCGAATCAATTCCGCTAAGTCGTCAATAATTCTGTTTGGACAATGGACAATCTAGAATGAGAGAGCAGATTAAGTCTCAATTGGAGGTTAAATGGTTAGGGTTAATACAACTGAATTAATCGTAAGACAGCGAAAAGTGTTTGGGTGTTGTCATAGACTGTGACTTACGATTTAAGAAACAGGTGTCGGAAATGATTAGAAAAGCTTATGTTAATTTAAAACGAATTTTATGTAATCGCTTCAGCCTGAGCAAAGAGTATTTCGTTGTATACTCTTTGGTCTGAGTCAACATGTCAGAACTACCTATAGTCCTACACTCTGTGAGGCATTGGTTCTATCCCCGGTGGTTCTATCGCATTTCAATTACTGTGGCGCTCTTTACGGTCCTTGTTTCGATTTGGCCGACGTAAATAGAATTAAAAAAATCCAAAACTCTTACTTAAGATTAATTTATGGTATAAGAAAATATGAACACTGACATACCACACAAGTTAACGGACTTAAATTTGTTGAATATGGGAAATCGGCGATATGTAAGCAGTGGCGGCGCGAGCTGTGCTCGCGCCGTTGGCAGCTACTCGAATAGGCGCCTATTGAGATTCTGGGATGAGAACTTTGCCTGTTGCCTCCCCAAACAATTGTTGGCCCTTACCCCCAAAAAACTCGTCTCGTAATGTAAAATTACTATGCAAATAATTTTTTGTTTTTTAATCATTTTTCTAATTTTTATGCAATTGTATCTGTTCATTTAGGCGCCTTTTCTGGCGCCTTTTTTGCGCAAATGGTTGGCAAGAGCCAACTTGCCACCAACTCGCGCCGCCACTGTATGTAAGATCACCGACAAAAATAATGATAAAATGTAGTTTACTGCCACTTAGGCAACCAACCATACACTATCTAAAATGCCAGCGTTGAAATGCTTGTAAGTTGTTGGTGTTGGACATTTATATATATGGTGTAGGATGGGCAAACTTAAGAGACACATTGATATCTTCAATCTTGTTTTTCTTTGCAATAAAAACTGGTTTTTAAGGTTAATTTTCTTTTTTTAAATAAATACTCTCTTAAGTTTAAACGATCCAGTTTTGTTGTACAGTGACAAAATAGGCTCACGTAAACGCAGTAAAAAAATAAAACTGAAAGACTTATTTAGTACTTGTGTTTTTTTATTAGGTATATTCAATAATAAAAAACACTATTATCTGTTGTTTTTTCATCTATTTTGTGTCGATCTCATATCCATTATGCGAGATTTCTTTTATTTTTGTCCGTGTTGGGACAAAGTTCTGGTTTGGGCCCCTCCCTTTACCAAATCCTGGGACCGCCACTGTTTCCAGCCAAACCGTGAGATGCCCCAACCTTAACAACGTCTTGTGAATATGATTGTCGATACGAAGCACCCTATACATCATGTTAGTTACACAAGCTGCCAACCAAAATCTGGTGGGATATAGGAAAAGGGAAAGAGAGCGAAGATGAGACGGATGAAATTTCTTGGAATGCCACATGTGCTTACCATTTCAAACACCTGCAGTCCAGTTTTTTCCTAGAAATGCGTGAAATGCAGGGAATGGGCGATTTTCGGGTGGTTTTTAGGGGTGTTAGCAGATGAAATTACCGCGTGGCTTGAGGTGGTCAATAAATACGATGTGTGTTCATGGTCTTTTTGCTTTAACGCACGGCTTATCTTGAAATATTTTGTTATACCTTAATCATTACTGTGTGGGTTTGTTTTTGTTTTATATTAGGTGAGGTATTTGCTTTATTCAATTAATCTATAAATGTGTGTAACATGAATGCAGATTGTAACCCTTTACTTATGTATCACTTGTACTGTACCTCTTAATGTGTAACCTTTGTTGGTATTGGCAATCATGTTTCATTGTCGGTAGTATCTGTGCTGCAGCTTGTTTAGAGGGGAGCGAGTTATTCAAGTTTATACGGGCCTTGGTGAACCTATAACACTAACATTTTCACTCGTTCCGAAACCCAACAACTTTAGCCCATGTCTACAGGCACCCCACTGGGCCTGCTAATCCTCCCACCCGGCGAGGTATATTTAATATCTCTTAGTTTTGTCTGATGTATGTGTTGTAATACCTGGGGAATGTCTCGATTCCATTTTGGTTACTCATAGCGTGTCTGTAGTACTTATTCCGGTTTCAAGAGGGCTCAAAAGTGCGGTACATTGGATGTTAGCTGTAGGCTTTGTTCATTATAGGACTACTCCGAATTAGGTTTTCCTTCAGTTTTCCTAATTCGTAAGATGAATGCCGGAGTAGTATAGAATCACTTAAGACCCTCTGCAGGGGCACCGTATTGGTATTAGCTTCAATATAATCTTAATCAGCTATAATTGCTTTTGGTGTTCCTTACCTATAAAACGCCCTCAGTGCCTGCTTAGAACTCAGTTACTACACAACGTAGGTGTACTACATGACGATCACGATCTTAGTGCACTCGGAGTGGCCCCCCGAGTGACAGATTCTCGCGGGAAACTTAAGCGAGAATATTCAAATAGACAGCCATGTTAGTTTGGCCTTCCCGCTACTACAGAATATGGTCAAATATTCCGGTGTGACTTGAAGTTGGCGTTAGCCGCCAAGATAGTAGGAGGCTAAGATCATTACAACCGCAAGTGAAAAAATTATAATTATTGTCAACGAATCTAAATTGAGAAAATAGAAGCAACAACTTCAGCGAACAATTCATAACAAGTAATTGGTAAAGTGGAAATTTATACGCCCTCGGCATTTAAAAGCACATTACGTTTCAATGGAGGAATCAAAATATGAGCGCAGTGCTTATCTAATAAGTAGTAAATCATTAACAAGATATCATTTCCAGGTTAGATTGTTAGGGGCCATTCAAAAATACTAGCACCAATATCAAGAGAAAAACTTTGTAAAAAGTTGTACCAATGTGTAATGTATTAATGTCTCTTAAATTTGTCCAGAATATTATGCATAAAATTCGGTTTTTCCAGTTCTTGTAATTATATACCTGCTGTAGTGTTTACATCAAGATTCCAGGCAGTGACGAAGAAACGCCGAAACAAAGACCACAATGCGCGACGCCGTGCGGCCCATCCCACACGATTCCCCGCGAGCATTGTATAAATACTAATTTAAACGATGCTTTGAGAAAACTTACCTTTCAATGTTGCCATGTAGAGTGTATGGTTGGTTGTCTAAGCGGCAGTAAGCTTCATTTTATCATTATTTTTGTCGATGATTGTACAGTACATTCTGTTGTTTTATAATATCATAATATTGTCACGTCCAGAACACCACTTTATCTATATAATAAAATTGAATTTAACAGTAATTCTAGATTTATTTCGTTAATTAAACCACCTTACCATTTTTTTTTTTATTATATTTGCTATTTCGGGATCTATGCCCATTTAGCAACATTTTCAGTACCTTATTCATTTACTCTATAGGAATAACACAGGACACACTCTTCTCGCCAAGAGGTCTATCATGGCATTTGACATTTAACAATACAGGTAGCGACCTTGATTTGTATAGGAGGGTAAGACAGAGGTTCAATACAGAGGATACATCATACAGATCCATGCACGCACTCACCCTTAAATATTTAACCCAGTATTAGCTACGTATTCAATTACTATATCATAAATGCGTCTACAGTTGGAACTCAGTAGAGCAACGATGTTGATGGGAAAATGAACACCACTTTCTGTTAACCGTGCACTCATCTGATCAATGAAGGGCCTTCTCAGTTCGCAGTTAAAAAATATGTGATTGAAATCACCAGTCTCGAATCCACAATCACACCCTGGCGAATCTACAACCCCGATCTTATACAAATGAGATGGAAACCTCCCATGTCCAAATTTAAGACGTGCAATTATCGAAAAGTATCTTTTTGGGGTATACTTATCAGAATACCATGGTCTAAACTTAACCGTTGGGTGGATTAAAGCATACTGTGTTTGTCTTTCTTTATGATACTCCTTCCAATATATATCCCAGGCTTCAACTATGTTGCTTTTGAGAACATTCAGAAGGTCTGTTCTTGGTGTGGTACTCTCGAGACTGATCCCCTCTTGTACAGCTTGTTTAGCCAATTCGTCTACCAGTTCGTTTGCTTTTAAACCTGCATGTCCTTTGATCCAGTAAAACGCAACAGTATGTCCTTTCTTTATAATTTTAAAGGCCTCTGCTCTAATAGCGGTAATTAAAGGATGGGATTGAAAATAATGGACCCTTTTATTGATAGTGGCCAGGACACTCTTACTATCTGACATTATGGCCAGGTTCTTTGCTACATTACGTTTATAAAAATATTTTAATGCTTCTAATATTGCAGTCGCTTCAGCTGTAAATATAGATTTGACCTTTCCAAGATTAAATAACTTTGAATATTTAGTCGATAGCTCGTAAAATGCACATCCGACTCCCACCTTGCTTTTAGAACCGTCTGTGAATATTATCTCCCAACATTTCAAGTTGTCTAAGGTGTTATAAAATAGTTGGCAATCATATCTAAAATCCCCTATATAACTAGGGAAGTACGTTGGCAGACTTCCGACGTAAAAATCGTGATAGGAAGCGTCCGGAATTTCTTGTATCCAAAGAGGAATTTTTAATTCGTGAAGATAAAGGCTTGCCACGGAAAGCGGAGGAGACTTCTTTTTAGACCAAAAAGCCGAGGTTAAATCGTGGGACATAAGCTCTTGTAGCGAGTTGTAAATATTTTCCAGTTTTAGGGCGATTGTTTTCGTAACATATTTTAAAGCCAAATACTTTCTTCGAAACTCGAGTGGTGGTTCACGTGCTTCCACATACAATGCTTCTACAGGAGTTGACTTCATAGCCCCAATGCAGTGTCTTAAGGCTTTATTTTGAATGACTATGAGTCTTTTTAAATTTGGTTTTGATGCTGCTCCATATAAATGCAAACCATAATCTATTAGGCTTCTTGTAAGTGCTTTATAAACCTTTAATGCAGTTGGAAAATCCATTCCCCATCCCACTCTAGTCAATAATCTTAAAATATTGAGGGATCTTTCACATTTTTTAGTTAACATGTGTATATGTTCCGTCCAGTTTAGTTTGTAATCTAATCTGATCCCTAAGTATGTAACACTTTTACTTACCATAAAACATCGTTCTATGAAAGATCCTTTAGTTATTGTATAGCGAATACTTATATATGTATAACGCAATTGATAACGTAGGTACTTAAAAAACTAGATACCTCTAAATTAAACAAATTAATTCGCCAGACCATGTTTGACAGGCAATGTAACTTAGTGCTCCACATCATAGGAAGTATATATTAACGCTTCAACAAAAATTTTTTTTAAATTTTATTGTTTTTTTTATTGAGTATTATTATTTGAGCGTTAAATTGTGCAATTCTGTAATAATTTACAAGTGGAAGAGCAGAATATTGGAGGCAGTCGCTTCCACTAACTGAACGTTGCATTACTTTAATTTTGAAATATGTCATTTAGTTTTTTTACTGTAATTGTGTGTATGTAACTTAATAAAAGGCATTATTATTATTATTATCTTGGCAGCGGAATATCCGTGCCGCGATTTTTGTCTTAATTGAATTTACATTTTTGAACTTGACATTATTTTAAATTTCCGCTGCATGCGCCAGAAGATTAAAATTGATCAAAACTTTTCACACAGACAAAAGTAACTGACTATTCTTCAAAAGCATACCTATCAACAATTGCTCCTTTTTTTTTGTGTATGTATCAGCAAAGATCATACTGTAAACATTTTACTTTGGATATTAAAAGTGCACATTTTCTTGTAAAACTATTCTATTTTTTAATTAAAAATGAACCCCTGTTTCTTCTGGTCATGCAATAACTTTAGAACGATTTTACCGATTTCATTCATCTTTTTTTTAAGTTGTCTAATTCTGTGTAGAAGGTTCTTACGGCAAGAAAAACCAAGAAAATCGCGCAGAAAATTGGAAAAAACTTAACGACTATTTAAACATCGCGCGTTTGACGTTTCGACGGCAATTGTTTTAACAGCTACATGGATTGGCATAATATATCCGTCAAAAAATTAATTTATTCATATCATAGTGTGCTGTCAATTCGATGGGATAGTTTATCCAGATTTCAGTGAGTTTTTTGAGAAGTTTCGAGGTTAATTCACCCCAATCACGCCTTTTATATTAAAAGTTTGATATACCTAATATCCATTTTTGGTAAGTGTTGAATGTTGATAGACTAAACACGTGGTATACACAGTTATACAGAAACACTAATGGCCGTATGCATCGACAAATTTAAGCGAGGGAATGATTATTGCGACAACGGTTGCCATGGATTTTAAATAACGCTAAGCTCCGCTTAAATTTGTCGAGGCATACGGCCATTAGGAGAGTCTTTTTCTACTTTCAGTTGAATTTTAGTTTTTTTCAAGATGCTGCCAAAAGCAACTAGAAGTGAGTGCGTTAATTTTTTATTAGTTTATGGGGAGATTTTGAGGCAAGTGTGTCAAAATCTCTTCCGTCTAAACGGTTGAACCGATTTAAACCAAATTTGCTACACATATTCTTAGACATAAAAGGGCAGAATCGCGCATGCGCAGGTGGTGCTGGTAGTACCTGTGCTAACCACAGCGAATTTTTTGAAATCATTTTTTTGTTATTATTTATTCCAGTCTGAAATGATTGCGTATTCATAGCTATAAAGAAAGAGGACAACGTTCGTCGGGTCATCTAGTATGCAATATACTTATGTCCATATGCAAGAAAAACATTAATTTGGATTATCCGTGTTTTCAATTATCCATGCTTTGTCCAGTTCCATGGAGCACAGATAATAGAGGTTCTACTGTACTGTGCACAAGTGTATGTATGAAGAGTGCAATTTGTAACCTTCCAGTTATGCAAGATATTTTGACAGATTTTTGGGGCACAACTGAACATACCTCATTTATACAAACACACAATAAGGTAAATAATAAAATTGCATTTCGTAACGATTTATTTAAATGAATTGTTCATTTGCAAGTATTAATAAATAAGAGTATAATAATCAGACTTATCAATGACCTATAAGCACAAATCAATTCTGCAAGTATGGAAATGTCCTACCACAGAAATTAGAGTATATAACTTTTCTGTCAGTCAGTATTACTTATCTAAACAATTAAGCCGACAGTAATTTTTACAAGAAAGGAGGTGCCCATACAATGCAGTCAGTCCTCTATACATGACTAATGATAATAAATATAATCAACTTAAACGTTCTAATGCATTACATCAGTCTTACAAGTGCAATTTGCGTAGCAGTTTTCATTAAACTGAAAACTATATTTAATTTAGAAACGATACATAATTACTAAGAAGCATATAGTTCTCAACTAAACGTGCGTACAGTTCCCTGCGAACTTTTACAGTAAAATTATTGGCAATGCACAAAGTAGTTGCTGTGGCAAACACTAAATTGTACATAAAAACAATTTGAAAATTGCCCAGCCATTCAATACTTCCAAAATCTCCCAACAAGTCGAAATTGGTGATTCCTGAAAAGTAAACGTTGAACACACATAACAATATATTAAGATTACCGATACCTAAAATCTTCGAAAGTAAAGGTAGAGCGGAGCTGAGGATCAATATTAGTGCGCAATTTCCAAGAATTAAATTGAACGGTGTACTTTTGGCACGCGGTCGAATCCATGACATTGGTGGTGACGAATACAATCCAATCGACGATGTCACAATTAAGTATAATATTAATACGATTTCAATCAAAGCGCCAAGAGGTCCAAGGGTTGATAGTGAAGTAATGCCAAGTGTAAATTGCTGTAATATAAATAACAATAATGTATGTTTGTTATTGTAATGCAATGAGTTATAATTACCCTTGAGCTAAGAGGCAGCGCCTTAATACCGATAAGCAATTCCACTGTGTTTCGAATAACCATAAATACGGTAATCGCAGTAAGACCAATTAATAATATTACAGATATAGGATACAACAAGTTTCTTCGAAATGATGAAGTCTGACGCTGCTTATCTGAAACCAAATATCTAAATAAAAACAAGTATTTCATAACAGATTCTAATGATTGACTAATAAAGATTTATTAAAATAAATAGATCAATAGTTTTTGCATGGAGAATAGGTCTTTTTCTTGTGGTGAGCGTAAACCATGAAATCCGTATGCACACCTTCATTAGAAGCACACTATGCTTTTGCGCCATCGACAAATACCGGAAATACGTCAAAAGTAAATTTAAGATACAATTTAAGCATTTTAATTAATCTCATTTTCCCAATATTTGAGGTTAGGAACGAGATTTTGAAAAACGGTTTTCACTGGCCTCTTTGGGCGTTATTTGGCTACTTTTTCATAAAGAAAAAGTCATATCATTCCATTTGATTTTTTAAATTTTTTAGGATTTTGGATCATAGTGTCAAAACTAGCGCCCTGGCGGAGAAGGATTGAACTAAATGAAGTATATTTTGGTTGATTCTTGTTGCCCAAGGAATGCTCTTTTCAACGATACTAAATTACAATTGGTCAAACGGTTAAGAAGTGAAAGCAGATTATTGCAAAAACAATTCAACGCCCCACACCATCTTTGTTTTTTAAATAACTGAGTTTTTGTTTTTACGAAAATGATAGATAAACTGGTTCTCTTTAAAAATGTGAAAAAGAATGTTTAGTTAGTATAATGCGAAATTTAAAGAAAATGCAATCTTAAAATTTTAGATGGCAGTTACGCCCTCTGGTTGTCATTTTTAGAACTTGAAAATATTTTCCAGCGATTCTTCATAACCGATTTATCCAATAATTTTTTTACCCCTAAGTCATACGACGAACGGTTCCCAAGATATGGCCGAGGAACAGTCTTATTGGGTCACCTGGTACAAAGAAGCCCGGGGGGAGAAGAAAGCGAGGACGCCCCAGAAGAAGTTGGATGTGTGGGGTAGACGAAGAGGTAAGTGACAAAGGCTTGGAAGATATTAATTGAAACAACCAAAATTATTGGACATCGGGAATCGCAAGATGTAGAACGTTGTATAGCGATAAATATAAATAATGCACTATTGTTGGCTACTTATGTTCTTCCTCAACATTGTGGAAAAGGCACCTAACCTTCTTATCTGAGATGTAGTTAGTGTACCTACCTAAATATTGGGGTAATCACAAGAATTTTTATCTGGTACTCATCTTACTGTTGATACGACAAATGTAACACCATCTCAATATAACCCCAACCATTGTTTATAAACAATGCCCCAACATTAAAAAAAACACTATGAAAACAACTAATAATGCATGTTTACTTTAGTACCTACTTGGAGTACCTATCAAAAATTTGGATTTTGCAACAGAAAGTATGAGATTTGTTTATTAGATATAAATAGATTGTGAATAATTCTCTAGCTTGTTTTTTATTGCTACCATTGTATTGCCAAGACGCAGATAATTATAACCTATTAAGTATACAATTAAAATTGCACTGACCTAAAAGACGTCTTTTTGCCTCAATTTCAGTTAACTTCAAACCCAAAGCAGATTGTAGCTGTCCATTGCTCAACTTAAATAATTTGTCATCATTAATCGATCTCCTATGTGTAATGGACATAGGTGTCGGATATATGTACGACTTGCCAATGACTTGCGATAGTTTGAGACGCCTTCTTAAACATTCCTCTTCTAAAGCGTATGCGTGGTATTCTTCGTCAATATCATGCAAGAACTGGGGTTTTATGAGATATTTGCCAGTTACATCAAACAATCTCACAAAACCTAATGGCGTACATACTGTAAGTATAAAACTGTAGACAGTTGCGTAACAATATAATGAGCATATTACCTAACAACATCAAAACTCCAAGAAATGATATACAAGAATATAAAAATGGTAAATGGTAACTCCATAAATCTGTAACAAAATAAACTCATTAGGTTATGTGATTGACAGAGTAGGTAATAAAAATACTTACTAAGCAAACTTTGAATAGTAGATTTATCTTTATGTACTAAAGAGAATATCACATAGGTGATCCCGAGTAGAGCCGTTGCTAAGAGGGCAAGGACGATTACAGTTTCTTGAATTCGTGCCATTAATCCTTTTCGGTGACCAAAAAATCCTTCAGATTCGATAAATAAATATGCGAAAGGTAAAAGTACAAATAGAGATATATTAGAAAATAGGAAAACATAGTTCCATAACCCTAAAAAAATCTTTGTTTATTACATATACATTTATAAACTAAACTTACCTTGAATAAGTGAACTATTCAACCATTTTACGTAATAAGATTTTGGATACAAAATAAGAACTTCATTTGAAACAATGGAAAATGGTAGTAAAAGAACAGCTCCAATGGATACGGCTAAGGAAAATGTGCACAACCATGTACTTATCCGATATACCATTATTTCGTCTTCATCTGTGCTGTAGTAATCTTCTCGACCTCTTCTTTTAAATTTTCTTAATAGCGCAAAACTTGCCAAATATAACACGATGAAGAATATCATGAAAATCTGTAAAGCGAAAAAACAATTAGTAAGCAAATTATAATTCAAAAGAAACATAAGCAAATAAATACAGTAAGTACTTGTATTGTAGCAGAGATACAGACACCAGCTTCGAGCGTATTTTTTAAATACCTAAATAAATTATATCACTTATGCTCGGTTTAACAAACGTTGATTAAGGTTAATCATTGATTAAAAATATTAGAATGTTATGTGACTGAGAGACAACCATCCGTTAGTTTTTTATACATCTCGCTTAGACCGTTGGCACTGGTTAAACATATCCATTTAAAAATAAAGGCAAATAAGTAAGTACCGCTGTTTCTATAGTGCAGTTGAATACCAGATCATAAATTAATGGCAGTTGCAGGCAGATGGCGAGGCATGATTCCAGTTTTGCACAAATTATAATCTGGCAAAATCTGAATTTTATCTCGTCAATTGTTTCATTCAAAGAGAAAAAAGATGATTAAAAGAAATACTTGGGACGTAGGAAAGCGCCGTGGGTAGTCGCTTGGCAAACAACACCCACAGCAGACTATATCCAAGTATCCGCAAAAGATAAGGACTATTAGGTAATTTTCCTTATCGATAAGTGAAGCTCTATCTATTTCTGAATTTCACTTATCTTCACCTCCTTGGACATTATCAATACGTAAATCAAGTTGCTCACCTAAACTTGCGAAATATACAGGAAATGGTAGATGTTCTAGAAAAACGAGCAAATTTTCTTCTACTAAAGCATCCAACATTAATACTAATTATTAATAAACTGGGACTACGAGACCTGTCTAGTTTTTACTAGTAGCAATAGTTTCAAAGTTTCGTCGCTGACAAGAATGGATGGATTTTCTAGATCTGATGATTAAAAAATACCTGATTAAGTCGATACCAAGTTGACTCATGATCGAGTTGATGGTGGCAGCGAGATAAATGGTAACTGGGTTTAAAAAGTGGCTACTTGAGATTTTGCTTAAGTAGGTACTTTTTCACTGAGCGATTTCGTCATTTTGGTTTCCTGACTAAGACACCACCTAATAAAATAATATGTACGTAAGTATGCAGTAGCACATTAAAATACTAGGTACCCAGCTTTCGCACTACCATCATCATATTGCAAACGTAATATCTAAGATCTAACCCTACACTACTCCTCAAGTTATTCCATTGAGAAAAACATAAGAATAAAATACTGTTCAGCTTGATTCATGAAAGTATTATAGCGAATATTCCAGAAATTTTCATAGACATCGGCGATAAAGAACGGCGGCGGATGTGACGTAATCTTTGCAAGAAATATGACGTGTTTGTTAGACAACATTCTAGAAAGGCTCGAAAGTGTCCAGAAGCGTTCGACAACTATCGAGAAAGAGGGGGTTTTGTTATATAAGCACATCGAATTATGAGTCAGTTCAGTTCCTACATCGATACGTTCTTGATGTTATACATTGTGAGTGATAAATTGCATTTACTGTTGTAAATTTATTGTTAATTAATTGTAAATAAATACACGACATAATTAAATTGACGTTACAGTATTCATTAATCGTCCAGTTTTTGATAATTTGCATTTTATAGTGCTTTGTTTATTAATTTATTAAAGTACATATATGTCATGAAAAAAAGACATGATAACAAATGAAAGATCGCTCATAGTATATTATATACCGCGGGACTGAGGTAGTACTTTTAATCCCGAAGGTAAAGTTTATGGCCCGACCGAAGGGAGGGCCATAATTTACCTGAGGGATTAAGACCACTACTTCAGTCGCAAGGTATATACGATATTTTTCGTACTTCCGAAACCGAAACACTTAATATGTATGGAGTTAGAGAACGCGTTTTTTCAAAAAATCGCTGCTTAACAAGTTACCATAGGAACGTTGCGTTGATATGACAATCCCTATGCCATGGTAACAAAAATAATTTGGAAACTGTCATTGCTAGTGTCATAATTTTGGTGGTGGGTGACAAAGGTGTATTTGATATTGATAAAAAGCGGCGAAAGTAGGTAAAGAATTGATACCACCGGAATCCAAAAAAACTATATGAGCAGCAGTACGATGCGTTTAAGAAGTAGTGCCGCATACAAAATGTGGAACAACCTACTGAAATTGCCTTGTTAGTAATTTCATCCTTCCGGGATTTTCGTCTAAATTTAATCCCGGCGGGACAAAAAGTGACACTTCAGTACTTGTCATAATGGAGTGAAGTTCTTACTTTAGTCCCGGAAGTACGAAAAATGTATTACATTGATGAGTTCGGTATTAGTGTAATGGATCAGCTCAAAACTTAATGTTGAACCGGAAATCGCAATCCACTTCCGTATTGCAACTTCTAGTTTATATCTTTGTATTTCTGATTTGTTATCAGATAATAAAGAAATCGTCCCTGCTCCTGTAGGAAATACACTTTACCAATCGGGACGTCTCGGGTAGATTTCCCTTAAGAGTCTTCTGTACCCACTGCACCCAATGTAAATTTCCATAAGAGCGCTCGCCATAAAAACTCTATTTGTTTTTACAAAAACAATTTTTTTTAAGAACTATTTTGTAAATTTAGACCTTTATCTACAAAATGTTCGGACTATTTTTTTTTTAAGTTTATAGCAAATGAATATCGATTTTTTAAAGATTAGCTGTTTTGCACCGATTATTGCGCTAATCTGTTTCATTTTTTTACTCTCGATCAAGACGATTTATGGAAAAAGTAAACCGACAGTTTTTTAGATAAGTTGTGAGCAACCCTGGATACGTTCCGGCTTTTGCCCACAGCCTCGGGTAGCGTCGGGAAATAATTGGCGAGCAAAGAAAATTAAAAGTGTATTGGCTAAATAGAAATAAAAATATATATATACAAAATAAAATAATATAAAAGATTTCCGGAGCAGTCCTCGTATTTACTTGGGGAGTACTGCCATCTGCCGGTAGTTATCTGGCCCCAGCGTGTCAGCTGGTTTGCTGGCAATGCCGTTTTCGTGACGTACTGTTAATTTCCACGTGCAGTGCGGTCTAGAATGTAACAAATTAATTGATGCGGGATTGAGGGCTGCGCCACCCGAACGGGGTAACCAACAGAACCTGCGGGGTGAGTGTTCGAACTGTAACAACTAACCTTTCACGTGACGGCTTTCAGCCCCTTATGGTTAACGTAGGCGGGAGCACTGTGCCCCAGGTTCAGGCAGGACGGGGCGACGGGAAGATACTACGGAGGTGTACTTCGTATAAAACCAGGAGTCACGCTCCGATTTCGTTTTGAAGACACGGACAGGTAGGAACGTATGGAGAGTAGCTGGTAATCTTGCGGAATACTTGTTGTAGTAACCCGTTCGCTAGGGAGTACACCTAGGAACTGGAATTACTCGGGGAATTGGGAACTGGTCAGAGTAATAAAGGTAACAGCTTGCACGTTTAATAAAGGGTTGAAAGATTGTTGTTTTAATGACACTATAAACACTCACTCACCTCGACGGCTAATTACGATTAACCCCCTAGGGCTAACGGCAACACACTCAACACAGGGAACGACAGGGGTGCAGGTTAACAAAGGTTTTACAGGTACTGGAACGACGGTTAAGGGTACAAATTATATAGGAATAAATCACAGGTAAATAAGGCTGGTTAATAGCAAAAGGCACTGGTAAAGATAGAAGCAAAAGCAAAAGTTACAAACACTGGACTGACACAGGTATATATATCTTGGAGATCTGGTGGGGAAGACGATTAGGAGGGGCGAAATTAAGTGGAAATATCTGGGGGAAATCTCATTTACTGGTTTTGGGCAGATTATTTCCTTACCCTTAATTTCGTTTCCTCACACACAGCTACTTCTAAACATGACCCCAAAAAATGAAATCATATAATTTTTGTAAATAAAGTCTGTATCTTGGCGGGCGTTAAATCAACAATTTGAGTGTAACAAGTGGCGCCGCTGCACAGTGTCGGTGGGAACTAACTAAGGACCAAGACAGGACTTGACAAAGCAAGAATATCATCTTATCTCTTGCAGCTATAATCATCTATACACTATAATGTAAAAAAGTTGCGCTTAGGTAAAGAAGACTCTTAAGCGCCCAAACCGGAACTGGAATTCTACTGCAAAACCTCTGGACATCTTGACATCGTTGGCTACGCAGTGAGTCAAAGCGTACTGCGCTGAATCTTTAGATTCCTCGCGGACAACACCAAAGCGTGCCCTTTGCGTTCCAGAGTAATGTGCCATAAATTCTAGATTGTCGTGGTCTCACTTGCATAATTCTCCGTTTCTGGATGTTCCTCGGGCTCGTTCTGTCCCGCGTATGGAGCCAACTGATTTATGTGTACTGCCACTGGTTTTCCTCGTGGTAGTTTCCGTATCCGATATATTAAGTCGATTATTTTGCATATGGTCCTTCCCAACATCTTTGCAATTTCGGGGAGAACCCGCGCCTCTTCTGTGAACCATACAACCAAACCAGATCTACAGCTTGGACCGTCAGGTCGTACCGCGCTTTCATTTTACCGCTAAATAACTGCGTCTTATAGCGAACTTTATCATGGATGTTCCCCAATTTCTGAAACAGGTTTTCCACGTACTCGTTCCCCACAGTTTCTTCCTGGCCGGGTCGCGTAAATACATTGTTTACCACGGTACAGACGGCTTGGCCTCTGTACCGCAGTATAGAATGTTCCTGAAATTACGCACAAATCTCATCTACATTATTTACTGTGCTGCAGACGAATACACAGTGGTGTGCCGAATGGATGGCTAAGTTTAGACGCGTCTATTGCTTCTAACTGGATTGTAAGATACACATACCCTGCTGCCAAGAAGAAGTACTTGTTTTTGCAATGGATATGCATCTGCAGTAGGTTTCCCAAAGTTTTAACTGAGTCAGTGATATAACATTAAAGGAGGAAGGTACTAAAAACGCCACTCCCAATGGCATCCACACTTTAGCAACCAATTTTACTGAAAAAAACACTCATCCCAGTTCTCTATCACAGAAAACAGTATAATAATCGAATTTCTTACTCTCGAAAACATATGACATGATTTGGATTTATCACATCATTTTCCAATGTGCCTTACCACAGCTATAAAGTATTTCTAAGTGCTTATAATAACAATTTTATAAGTTATGCTGTAGCCTTGAAAAAAATACTGTTTATATTCAATGGCTATAGTAAGAAAGGGATAAGAAATCGCCGATATTTTGATTACATTATATTTACTACGGTACAGATAGTGTCATCGTCTGCAGCACAGTAAACAATGTAGATGAGATTTGTGCGTAATTTCAGGAACATTCTATACTGCGGTACAGAAACCAAGCTGCCTGTACCGTGGTAAACAATGTATTTACGCGGCCGGGTCTTGTAGCAAACTTTAAATCACACGGTAACCGGAGTTCTCTGCTAAACAAAACGGAAGCTGGGTTCTGTCCTCTAGTTTCCGCCACTACAGAACGGTTCGCCACCAGGAACAAATACAGATATTCATCCCAATCACGCAGGTGGTCAGACACAACTTTTGCCAAGTACTTCCCCATTGTCCCATTCTTGCGTTCTACCATTCCATCTGACTGTGGGTGTAAAGCAGTGGTTCTGGTCATGCGAATGCCCAATAATAGTTAACACAGACTTTGGAAAATCCCCATCTTCTAACCGCAAACATGTCCCAATGAGACCAATACGCCTTTAGAACTGGGCCGTATCGAGATACTTCTCCCCAGGTTGGCCTTTTCTCTTCAAATTTCCAGTTTATTACTACACGTAAATTATTTTCTTGAGCCGCCCGGAGTTCTTGTGATGCCCAACCATCTTCCACAAGTACCGTGCGACGCGCTGCTTCATGCTTCAGTGATGCGTTCTGGAGCAGAACCAGCTAGCTCCTTCTCTTGGACCCGTTCTAGTTTTCCCTGGTTATTGGTTACTCTACTGTCGTGACAATTTCATCTAATGTGTCCGTTTTTACCACAGCTTCCGCGTCGCAGTCCTCGTCGTTTTGTCCATTGCTGCTCCAACTGCTCTAGTTGCTCCAATTACTATCGACTGGCATAAACTTCCACTAATTGTTCACTTACGAGTAACATACAACCCCATACTGGACACCAGTGTAACGTATATTTACATACAGTCAGGAGAATGACACATTACTGGCCAGGAGCCAGGAAACAGTGAAGTATGAGGCCCCTTTGGGGCCGAGCGCTTTAATTTCCGTGTCAAATAATGTCGTTTTACTGACGAGTTTTGTCTTAAATATGACTAGAAATCGTATTTTAATATAAAATTTAACTTTGTATTTAGAATGTCAGTGATAACAGGAATCATAGTGTTTAATAATAAAAGCGGCGCATACAAATATCAGTTAATTAATATGACTTTTGGCAATGTACATTTGGCATAAAGGATGTAAAACTATCAAGAATTTGCCACATTTTTTAGGTTAGGCATAAGTTTGGCGAGAATGCGTTCCACAAATAACCGCGAACCAAAAGTAACCGCAGTAGCCACGACCATGGTTTAAAGGTGGGTTCATAGCTCTCCGTTCATCCGTTGCGTTGATCCGTCAAACGGATAGTACATTTTGTTAAGGTTCATAGCAATCCGTCCACATTGTACATTTGCAACGTATAACCATAACCTAAATTTTATTTTGTACTGTACCCTCCGTGATTTTCAGTATGAAAAAATGGTACGAAAATAAGAACACGTTGCTATCTGAATATTACCGTGAAGAACGAATAGGCGAACACTGTTAACGTACCAAACACAACCTCACTCTTGTTAAAAACGGACCAACGGAAACGTAAATGTTCAACTTCAACCAACTTTTCCGTCGTAAACGGACGACGTACGATTTAAAAATTTGCTGTCTTCTGATTGGCTAACGGACAAACGGAAACGTATGAACGGAGAGCTATGACTTACCTTACCTTAATGCTTTTGATTTGCGGTACGTTCTATTAGCAATGGGTGCGTTCACCAGACGAAGCGCTTCATGAGCGCTACCTAAAGGCATACACGGTACGATCGATCTGTCCGATCCGTCGTTTCAGACCGATCGAAACGACGAATCGATAGTGTATGTCAAGATCGTTAACGATTTACTTCATCGAATTGGATATCGGACATCGCAACAAAAACGCATGCAATCGTGAATATCGTAACGATGAATCGACAGTGTATGGGCTCATTGCGATCAACAATTCGACAGGGCACGTATGACTTCTTAAATTATTTAATCACGATGGTTCGGTTGTAAGCGATCGATCGTAACGACCAATCGTTTCGTGTGTGAGTGGTAAGCTTTGGGCGATGTATCGTCACGATATCGCTTCAGATCGATGGTGACGACGGATCGTTCCGTGTATGGGGCCCTTAACAGCGAGCACAGCAGTCTTGAAAAATGATTTATAACCGTAAAATAGTATTTATCACTCACGAATACACAATTTAGAACAGCGCGAACTATTTATTACTTCGGCGTCGAAAGTGGAATTTCACTGAAACGCAATTCGTTTAACTTATACAGCAAACGCTCCGTCTTTCCTCAAAGATCTCGAGCGCTTCCGAAGGAATTCGGACTATTCTAGAATGTTCTGGAACAAACACTTCATATTTCTCGAGAAGGTTACGTCATATCCGCCCTAGTTCATTTCATGGTGCCTCGATGTATATCGAGATTTTTGAAATTTTCGAGTTTTCTGCATCAATAACATTGCATAGACAGAAAATGCAATTCACTTCTTGTGCGTTCGAGTATGCAGAATGCAAAGCATCTGACAGATTGGTTAATTTAGTACTTACCTAAGTAAAGTAGGAGTAGCTAGTTTTATTTGAAATTAGATAAATTGCGCGTTCGACGCTTACTTATAATTTACAGGTCGGTGAAGTTAGAATGATTTCGCCAGAGAGTTGTAAGCACAGTTCGTATCTAAATGCGGTTTTTTGTCAGTGTTCAGAAAAAAACTGGTTGAGCCATTTTTTTGAAATTATAAACATAATAAGAAAAGCTATTTTCCCTGGTCTATTACTACGAGTATCTAATGTAGGTAGTTCCTTATTAGTAGGGCGCGGATTTTTAGGTGCTAAAAACTTCCAAAATATTTATTTTTTATGTGCTTAAAAACATTAAAATATTTACTAAAAACTTAAAATTATTTTGACAATTTTCGCGAAAAAAACGGAAAGGAGACAAGTCTTTTATTCACCAATAGTAGCTGTAAGCTGAACATTACTTACCAGGAGTTTCTTTAGCATTGCAATGTATAACAAAAGGCATCTCCAAATTATCGATCACAAGTGATTGTCGATTGTCTCTGAATAATAATTTGTACTGCGAGAAACACCGTTTCACGTCACAGGAAGTAAGTCTTGCGTATTTTAAGAGAGGGTTCATGGGATGTCGCTAAAATGTACATGTTTTTAAATTCAATTGTATATTGGCTATTGTTGAAGAGTAAAGACGCGAATTTAGTGCTCGATTTAACTTAAGACACCTTACGCACGGTATGGTCTTGTCCAACTTTACAACTGTCTACTTTAACAACGAACAAATCTGCAGTGTTGAATTGAAACAGTACCTACCGAGTCAGATAGATAAGAAAGCAGCCAGTCAAAAAATTACGGGTCGCCGCATACAAAAAACAGAACTTGTCAGCAGGTCTAGAATTTGCGGAAGTGTTCCGCCGTCCGTAATCCGCTGTTATGAAAACTAGCCTTAATACGGTTGATTGACGTAAAAAATTTTTCTACAAAAAACCTGAATACATTTTTGCTCTAAATTTGGGAAGCCGAATACAGGAGAGGTGATCCTGTATAAGATTTTTAAAGAGTAATTTGAAGTT